GACCCTGGGCGCGTTCCCCCGACGCTCCTCTCGGCCTCTAAAAACAAAGGGTAGAAAGCCCAGTTTGCCCAGGACAACTGGTCACCAGATGGAACCGCCCTCAGGTCCTCTGGGAACTGCTGGGGGGTTTTGGTACAATCTGAGTCCAAGTGAACAACACTCCTATTGTCGGTGTAACTCCATACATATATATCTATATATACATATGCACATGTATATCTATAATATAGATATATATATGTAAACCCTTTTCATTCCATTACTACGAGTAACACTTGTTTCTTGTTATTCTTATTTTGTTTGTCAACCGTGTATTTATTCACTGGGCTGAACAACAGCGGAGGAAGGTGCAAGGGATCCACTCCTTACTAACCAGTGATAAAAGCCAGATATTGCAACTTAACCCATGAGTAGCTGTACAGACAAGAATTTGAGAACGATGTGTAGAAACAACCCTAGTGGCCGGGGGTGCTGAAGATACAGAACGATGAACAGGCAGGAGGGTTCCAGAGGGTGCCCTGGTCAGGAGCTGGGTGCTCGGGGACGGTGAGTGCAGCCAGGGGAAGGGGGATGGAGAAGCTGGTGCGGAGACGCCTGGAAACACAGGGAGCAGCAGCGGGTGCTCACAGAGGCACGGGGCTTGGCAGGAGTCTGAGGTGGTGTCCTGAGCCTGATCCATGGGGCAGCCTCAGCTCAGGCGTCACAGTTCTGGCTGCTGGTACTTGTAAACACCTCTGGACGTTCCAGCCAGAGCCGTAAATCCGTTACCAGGACTTTCAGGGCTTTGTCATTGGTCTGTATGAATCGGTCTCATCTTAGAGTTGGTCAATTTTGCAAGTACCTGAAGACTCTCACTAGTGTGTGTGTGCATACGCGTGTGCGCTCATCTTTTTTAATTATTTTTTTTAATTTTTTTTATTTGTGTTTCGTTGATTAGCAACCATTAGCATTTTCAATAGGGCTTTAAGTCCAGTAGATTACGGGTAGTCAGTTGACGAAGATCTGGTTTACAAGAACTAATTAAATGTTTCATTGCATTTTGTAAGTACATAGAAAAATTTTATAAAATGTTTGTAGTTTATAAATGCCTAAAATATAATTTAAGGGCACTTTTCTGTGTCTGCGTATGGGTGTGTCTGTCTGTGGTCAGTTTTTTTTGATGGTACCCGTTGACTAGCTAGCTTTACAATATGCCAAAAAGGATCTCTGACTTGTCCAGCTCTGGTGCGTCCCTCCCCCCGCCCGCCCGAGCTTCGTGTCCCAGCGTGCAGCGAACGAGTCGAGGAGTTGGGGAAATGTTCTGTATCTTCAGTATCCTGGTCTTCCAGAGCCCTCTGGTTGGGGTGGGATCATCTTAACTGGTCATTTCACTTTACTGTCTAGGGCAGTCAACTTCATGGCTTAGAGGAACCTCACTGGTCGGGGAAACAGGATGGGTTTTGCTGCTACCCTCTCTGGCTCGTGCCGTTCAGCACCCGCTCCGCGGTGCCCGTGTGGTTTGAAGGATGCGACTGCGTAAAAGAGGGGAGACTGTTCTCATGATGACTGTTGAGGAACTATTTGTGGATTTCTGATCACTTCAAAAGCTTACGTGCTGCCTCTAAAGATGCCGAGCACCATTTGAAGCTTTGTTGAAATGAGCAAGGCAGGGTCCCTATTTATTTTTATTTAAGAATATTGACCATCCCTTCCCCTTCACTCCCCCCAAATTTGACTAACCACGTTGCTGAAGGGTTCTGATGATTTAGATACTGTTTAAAAATCAGCTCTTCTGTTTTCTGCACCAGTGAGGTTTGAGATGAAAGGATTGGCCAGAGTTTGTCTACCTCTGGGACAAAAAAAAAACACCAACAACCTAGAAAGTGCTAAGGAATGGATGCAGTTGCAAATACAACATTTTCCAATTTTTTCTTGTTTAAATTTTTTTAAGAGAAAATTAAACAATAACATGGCCAATTTATTACATAAAAAAAGAGTTGCTGTGTATAAATTATTCCTAAAGAAATTCCTGTGTTTATATTAAAATGAATCAGTAGATTAAAAAAAAATTTCAAAATGTTTTTGTATATTCTGTTGTAAGAATTTATTCCTGTTATTGCGATATACTCGGGATTCTTTACATTATGAAAAGAAGAAACTTTGTCTATTTTGAATGGCTGAAGCTAAGGCTCCTTTAGTTTCTCTTACTCTGCTTTTTTCTAGTAGTTTCAGTACTACATGATTTAAGTTAAATAAAAGAATTCTGTATGCACTTGCCTGTTTCTGACTTTGTTGCTCCTGATGTGAAGCAAGTACAGGTTGGAAAACGTGGGAGTCAGTTTCTGGTTTTCTTCTGCCCTTTCTGACTGCGTTTAATTGAGCTGCTCTGAGCAAATCTTTGTAGAGGTCGTTGCTGACGTTATGTTGTGTTGAAAACAAAACTCTTTTCATCCAGTGACGTGGTGCTTGTGGACCTTTTGCTGGTGGGAGCTGAGTCCTGTTTTGGAGTAGGTAGTTCCCTTGAAAAAGGTAAGGTTATTTCTTTCTCTGCTTGAAGGAAACTGGCTTGTTTACCCTTGGAGCAATCCACAGGTGAGGCGTTCAGCCATCCAGCACGTGGTCAGCAGTTTGCTCTAACAGTTGTTGGCAGGAACACTGGAGTTTCTTTGGTGTTTCCAGTTCCTTGGACTCTTGTCATCAAAATGTCGAGTGAAACAAGGCATGATGGTGGCCCAAAGCCTCAGCAGCTGTCCGTGCTGTTGGGCTTGTCTGTTGTCCTCTTTGCTGAGGGGATGCTGCAGCAGCAGGCTTTGGTTTCCCTGGAGGAATCCCCGGTGTCCAGCTGAAGCTGCCGCTGTCCTGTTCTAGTGAGTGTTTTTGGAAAACAGCTGCTAGTTTTCTCTCTGCCCTGCCTGTCAGGGTGACCAGAGGAGCGAGGAGAGCACCAGGGATGTTCTCTGGGCCGGGAAGCTCTGTCACACCCGGCGCTCGTGGCCCAGCCCTGGGTACAGCTGTGTCTGAGACACGGGGCCTGCCCCGGCAGGGCACAGCACAGTGATCTGTCGCTGTCTGGTCCCCACCTTCACCATCTGGGATCTCATTTGGTTCCTGTTCTGAGAGTAATGTTGTGCCACAGCTCAGCCCTCAGCGATGGCCTTGCCTGGGACAAGTTGGCTTTGCTGCTGAAGTCCGTGAGGAGCCGTGAGCTGTCCTGCCAGAGGACTGGTGCTTTGTGCTGTGCTCTGTGGCAGGGCTGTGGGGTTCTCTGGGACAGGCACTGAGAACCTGCAGCAGGTGGTGTTTTCACACAGTTAAAACACAAATTGCTAATAGCATTGCAGCTCCTGCTGGATTCCAGCTTGTTTACTTTCTTTTAAGTCACCCTGGGTTCATAGCCCGTTTCTGATGTGGAAACAAGCATTTAGAGTAGGTCACTGAGAGATAATTGTAAAACTTCACATAACAGTATCCCAATGTGGGTTTTGGATTCCCCCATTTTTTAGGTGGGTGTTTTGTATGGCTGAATTCTGTCTCTCTGGACTTGGACAGGAGCTGAGGGGGCCTCTGCTACCTCCATCCAACCCTGCGTGTCCTTAGGCTGTGAGCGTCCCTCTTGGCTCAGAAAGTCCTTATGAATGTCCTTTGAACCATCAAAACTAAGGTTAAGCAACTTTCACACTTAAATCTGAAGCAGCTTTATCATTGTTAGCAATACAGACAATAACTTGTTTTTTTCTCATGGGCTTTTTAAACCAAAGAGAGCTGTAAAGACTTGCTTGAGTTTTGTAAGGCAGTTTCACTGAAGATAATATGGGATTTCAAGTGCTTTATGTAGGGGTTTTAAATAATCTTTAGATTTGTGTCATTTAAGAGGTAATTGCATTCGAAGAAATGCCCATTTTTTTTATTTCAATGATCCATCTTCCTCTCTTCCCCACACTGCTTTAACATTTCTGAGATAATTGTCTGTAATGCTTTTCCTAGAAGCTCTGCTGTTACGGCTGTGGACAGCGGGGGCACGTGGATGAAAGCTGCTCTCCCATCGCCGTAGTACAGCGAAGCGTAGTAGGTGTAATCACAAATGTACCTGCAACATTCAGAACAGAACCAGAAACATGGATTAAGGAGCAGTAAACTTGGATTAGATTTAAATATTATTCTCTAAGTAGCCAAAACAGATCTGGTTTATGAAAATATTAAAAATGTATTTGCTTAGCGAATAAAGGAAGTGCTGGAGTAAACCAAGTTTGAGAAACAAATATTGCTTATCTGATCGTTTGGTTTCTCAGACACCCACCCAGAGGGAACTTTAAATAAAAAAAGTCACAGGACACACGTTCTTCTGTAGGCTTCTGTGAGCTGTGTGAGGTGGGAAGGACAACAGCCCACTGCGACTACAGCTGCGCGATACAGGCCTCGGTGTCAGTCACGGTCTCACCACTACAGCGTTTGGGGTTTCCTTTCTTATCATGGTACCTTTTAACTTGCAGGTGCAAGTCCCAAAATCAAGCACCAAGATTAGCTGGGTTTTATTTTGTAAAATGAGGTCACTTACTCTTTCCTTTGTTTGCTTTTTAAATGAAGACTAGCATAATAGAAAATTGCTTTGGTGTTACTGAAACACTTAATGAGATCACAGGCATCGTTCTAAAGGTGCCTGTAATTGCTCTGTTCTTCAGTGTATGTATTTACATTTTGTATCCCTCCCACTTGGGAGAAATAGATTAAAATCTGCTGCTAGTCAGTATTGCTTTCAGCCTCTCCTAATAGCTCGGGTTTAGTAGGGCTGTTCATCACCGGGTGTCCTCTGTTGAAACTTGTTTCTTTTGGCATTTACAAATCCATGGAAAACTCTCTACTGGCTCTGGTTTTTCATGAAGGCTGCTTTATGTAAAATTTAAATTTATCCCAATTTCACACTTGCGCCCCTCTGAAGACTTTGCTGCAGAGTGGTTTTGGTTGGAGAAGTTGTGGCAAGGATTGTTCATGGTTAGATGAGGTGAATGAGTGACTTCTGCCTCTGCTGCGAGGCCCCGAAACGCCGCGTTTACCTCCCCGCATCTCTGGAGAAGGCGATGTCCATCCCCTCCACCGAGAGGTTTTTCCAAAGAGTCTTCATGTTGATGGCAGATTCAATCTTTTCTGGGCCATCTAGCATGCAACAGCCACCTTCTGGGCGAAACCCACCAGCATCCAGCTCTTGGTAGCCTTTGTTCTTCCCACACTGCTCGAGGATGAGGAGTGCCGTGGCGGATGAAGCCAGCCCGACGTGAACAGTGAGCTGCTTTTCCCCACCAGGGTGAGTGACAGGAGATTGAAAACAAGACTTGTTTGTTAAAAACAGGTAGTGCACTACTGCCAAGAGTCACGTGAAACACTAGCTGCAAGGTAGGGAGTCTTGCTGGAACTTACACCTAAAGAAAGCTTCCATAAGAAGTTTTAGAGGAGAACAGAATTGTGCTTTTGTTTTTGTTGTCTCCTCAGCTGAGGACCTCAGAGCTGTGGTACTTTCTTTGCAGAGTCTGGTGGATTTTTTTCCTCTCCTTTGTTCAACATGCAGTTGGGCTGCTGGAGTGGCACGGGGTTAAAGCAGCATGCTCATTGTGGTGTGCTCCACATTTCAGTTTGAAACCTTGATCACAGCTCTCATAGACCCTTTCAAGAGTTTCCTGACACACACATTGTGCAATATTCTCTTGGAGGTCTTTTTAAAGATCCACTCAGAGTAATAATATTCATAAATGAAGGGGGGAAATTGTGTAACAGTTAATTACTCACCAGTGGCTGAAGAGTTGTCCATATCTTGAAGACTTGCTCCTTTGCTTTCTGGTAAACCACTGGTAGCTGGATGATGTGGAGATCTATGTTTTCACCAAGACCTCTCTTGGACAGCTCCTGTGTTTAGAAAAAAGCCACCATGGACTTGTAAGAGCATTGGATTTCTCAGACTGTGGGAAAGAAATGAGGCTGATCCAACTGAGAAAACACTTGAAAGTGCAACATAATGCTCTCTAAGCCCATGGTTCCTAAATCTTGGTCTGCAGTGAGATTCATTTGTTTGGTGGTAGCTCTTCCTGTTTATCTGGAAGAGACTGAAATGTGCTAAGTGATTCCCCAGTGTCACGTCCCTGTGGAGCTGCTTTTCTGTTTCCCAGAGGGATGCTCAGTCTCCAATGGGTGGGAGTGGCTATTGCTTAGGGGCTAGTCCATGGGGAACAATGAAATGCAAGAACTCTCAGAAAAGGTCCACCCTTGGAAGCATCTAAATAGGCTTTGATATAGGTAAGAGCTGTTCCTCTGAAAGATCTAGTAGATGAGCCTACACTAATGAAGGAGAATTCACATTAGCTGCCCACTCAAATGACACATGATCTGCTGTCTTGAACCGGTTCAGGTAAGCTCTGCTGAGGTGGCTGTCAACATGAAGAAGGCCACGGTGAGAATCAGTTTAATTTCTTTTTTAGTCTAGAATATGTTTCTTCAGTGAAAGGAAATGACATTGATGGGGGTGTTACTTGTCTGTCATCAACACAGAGTTGAAGTTCCACATGGGACCTCTTCCCGAAGGAAACAAAAATGATGCCCAGAATTGAGGTGAAAGAAACAAAGGCACTCCTCAAAGCAGCAGATTGGCCAGATGGTTGGAAGATGGTCTGGAGAATAAATGTCATGTGGAAATGACTTGAAATTATTTTGTTAGTGGAATAGGGCTAACAAACAATGTGTAAGCCTCTGAGGAGAAGGTAGGTGGCTGAAACGGCAGAATGCAGAAGGAATGTATGTGAGGTAGAAAGCTTTGTCCCAGAAAAGAAAATGGTGTCATGAACTCCTGCTGCAGCTGAGTAGACACTACCAAGGGACGGTGCAGATGAGGTTTCTAAGGGGGATAGCAGCAGAGGTATTTGATTAGCCCAAGAAACCTGTAGCTTTTTACTAAATGTCATTGTCTTCTCAAGTTTTCATTCCTCACTAAGGATACTCATGTGGACGAGGCCCACAGTTCTAAGCTGTGCTAACTGGGAAGTTTGCCCTTCAACACTGGCTTCCTGTATAAACTGCTCCAATTTTCTTGTCAGCGGAAACATTGATTAGCTGTGCTCAATAAACCATTTGACACAAGCAAGGAAACAATGCCTGCAGGGAAGTAAACACATTTGGAGAACAGTGCCAGCCTTTTTCCCTCTGGGTGCTGACAGTCTTTGAGAGGCCGTTGCATCATCTTGCTGAAGAATGCTGCACTGTGTCTTAGCTTCCAAAGAGAAAATCCCAGCTGGGTCACAATTAGCATTTTCTTTTCTAAAGCATCTTTAATTCTAACATTTAATAAGATATTTTCTTTTTAATGCTAAGTCTTAGAGGACTTGACAGCCCGTAATTTCGGTACAGAATGTGGAGACCCAAAGTGAGTCCTTAGACTGTTCTCTCGTGCTCTCTGGGTTGAGGTTCTGTTGTCACCACTTGTCACAGCAGAAACATGCAGCAGTGCTTTGTGCAGGACAATACCAGAAGCTGCCAACAGCAGAGGGCTGGGAATTGGTGTCACAGGAAGATCGCTTGTTATGTCCTCAGCCATTCCAGCACGTTGTCAATGCTGTCTATTACTTTGTTGTCTAAGAATCCAACCATGGGCTTGCACTCCTTAGACCAGATGTTGGGCAAACATGGAACAAAAAACACAAAAGGTCGTTCCCTGTCTCAGCCTTAACCAAAACCATATTTGCATTTAAGGTGAGGGACTGAAGATGGGCAGAGGAAGATGATTGCATCTGGAAACTAGAGCTCACACTGGTGAGTTATTTCAGGAGAAGAGTGCCTGTCTTCTGTAGTTGAAACGGCCAAGGAAACTTCAAAGGAAGGCCAAAGTTTTGGAGGACTTTTTTTGTGGGAAAAGTGGTTCAAAAGAAAGCATGAAGATTCTTTGTTGGGAAGTTCTTCTAAAAGGCAAATGAAATGCAGCAGTATCAGCTGACGACCTTGAGGGGTTGGTGAGTTGTGGACATGGTCCCAGTCCACTGGAGTTCGGCCCTTGTTGTTACAAAGCCCTCCCCAAAGAGGGGATTTGTGACTTGCACAGAACAGTTCTGGATTTTAGGAAACTCCAGATAATTCCCCTGGGTTTGGCTGTGTTTTCACTGATTTGGACTGCTGGGGGGGGGGGGTGAAGGAGGTGCGGGCAGGGGCCTGCATGTGTTAATTTTGTGAACCTCATTCAGAAAGGCTTGTGTTGGTGCAGAGGGAAAACCAGACCCCATCAGTCTGCAAGTGTGTTGCAAGAAAAGTTCTGTTGTTTGGAAGGGTGTTTTTTTGTTGTTTTATTCCTTTTTTTAAAGCTTTAGGGGGATTTAAGAAAGTTCCAGAACAGAAATGAAGACACTAAATAGCAATGTCTTCTTACTTTCACAGATGATGAAACTAAAGCAGAGGAGGAGAGGGATGGAGATTAAATGACAAATTTCCACAGAGCACATGGTCAGTGGCAGTGGAGATCTGATCCTTGTCTCCTGACAGCAAACATAGTTCCCAGAAGCAGTTGGAAATGTGACCTGTTCTTTGCACTAACAGTTTAATTACTATGAATGTTGTCACTCAGCTTATATCTGTGCCCTATTAACTGGGGACTTTGACCTTGGTGGTAGACTGCTCTGGGTAGGTTATTTAGCTGCCAAGTTGCAAACAGGAGTTTTCTGGGGGAGGCACAGGAAAGGGTCAGATCAAGGGTTATTAGGTGGGACCATCAATCTGTAACAGGGGATAAATAATTCAGGGGATCTGGGATTTGGTGGGTCCCGTGTGGTGCTGAAGAACTGACACGTCACGGTAACTTGATGTGATCTGTCAGCAATTGTGGAGTAAATACTTGGTGTTTCCTTGGGAGAGAATGCCCTGTGCTGCCAGAGAGAGAAGTGCTGCTGGTGGAGCTTTTGTGCATATTTTAGGAGGGTATTTCAGGTGAATGGAGCCATGAGAACTACAAAAAACCTTAGGTTTCTAAAAGAGAAGCTGTCTTCCTAGTGCTAGACGACCACGCTGGGCCACGTGGTGGTGTCTGTAAGAGCTCTGAAGCTTTTCTCCATGGCCCTGAGCTTGTCAGCCGTGCTCTCAGGTCCACTCAACTGCCCTTTGCCCTGAACACTCGAGGGGTGCTTGCAGAGGAGTGAGAACTCTGTGGGTGCAGTGCTGATGAACACTCTGTGTGTGAGCTGTCTTGTGCTCTGATGAGAACTTGGGTTTGTGCAAAACCAACAGGGTACTCTTCACATTCTTGGAAAATTATAATTTCCTGTTACAAAACAGGCAATGCTGGACAATGCATTTCTACATAGCATCCAGAAGAAACCCAGGAATTCAGAACAAATAGTCTTTCTAAACCACCAGAAATAGAGATTTGGAGACTTGTGTTGACGTTTATCATCTGATTCCTGGGGGTTTCAGAAAACAGAAATTGGTGTATTCACCAAAAAGGTAGGAAATTGTTAACTTGTGGGAAACAATGTCACCCAACCATTTTTCTTTGTGCCCAGTGAGGGCATAGAAGGGATGCAACTATTGGAATGGGCTGTGTGCTCACTGGGTCGGTCTCTGATCCTGCCTACAGCAAGAGGAGAGGCTCAGGAGAACAGCTGATCCCAGCAGCAAGGCAGAGGGCAACAGCCTCCTGCAGAGAAGCTGGTAATGGGGATTTTAAGGAAGCAGTTGTGCATAAGAGCAAGGATTGCTCACACAAGTGGAGCCATTGCTCTTTGGCAAAGAATCCATTTCCAAAAGCATGGAGGGAAAGGCTATGCTTTGAGAACTGGGACCCTGGAACTCCTGTTGCATGTATTTTTGGAGGATTTCAGATGCTTTTGGTATGAGGTCCCTTTGGGGATGTGAACTCTTACGGTTGTACGTGTCAGTGTTACAGCATCACTGAGGGTGCCGTGGTATCCAGGCTTTATGAGAACCCAGTTCATTTTGAGGTGATCATTAGGATGGTTCTGGATCATGCTGTGAAGGCATTAAGCCTGAGCAGTCATGATCAGTAGCTCAGGTCTGGCTGCTCAGTACTTCCTTGAGGAGGAGTTTGGGTGTACTCCTGCTTGGCTCTCAGAAAAAGAGACTCGTCAGGAGGGCTTTGTGTCACTTCAGAGATCCATGCAGCAGCCCCAAGCCAAGGCAGGGCTACTTCCAGATGTAAATATTAAATATTGCTATCTTTAATATATGTGCATGAGCTTCCTGAAGTCCCCAGAGCTGCTCTTGGTGAGCGAGGCCCATGGAACGATACCATGAGAGTGGAGAAGCCTATGCAAATGGAAAGAACTTCCAGGTCTGCAGCAACTTTCCCCAAATTGCCTGGATTTACCCCCTCTGCCAGGGACCAGGAAACCAAAGCAGTGTCCCCAGGATGAGCACGTTGTGTCGCATCAGAGGGCAGTGGGTTTGTTCCCCTCCATGCACAAGGACTGACATCTGCTTCGTTATGGAATGCTGTAGCCTGGGTTATGTAACTCCCCAGCACATGGCATGTTACAGAAAACTCATCTCAGCAGTGCATTTTTGCTCCAGGCTGTTTTGCTTGCAGATAAAGAACTTGTTTTATTTTCAGCCAGAAGAGGATGATCTTGCACCCCAAATTAGAACCAATAGGAACTGGGGAATACTGAGCAAAAACCTTGTCAACTGACAAGTATTTGTGGTTTAGGACACATGTCAAGTTGGAGTTAAGGTAATTTATGGGTCTCCTGTGATGACTGGTGTGTGCAAAAGTATCACAGAAGTATTTTTGTTGCTTGATAGCTTACAGGGATAACATCTCTCATGATTTTGAGTGGGTAATAGATTTATTCTACCAAGCAGCAAGTTGCACTCAGCATTCTTCACCTAACAACGCTAGAATAGAAAATACATATGGGTTGGTGGAGTGGCTGTAGCTTTGGTCTTTGGAAAAATACACCAGCTCCTTGTTTTTCAGTCATCTTGGCTTCACTGCCCTTCATTTTCAAGACAGATCTTCAGTAGCTGTCACTGAAACTTGTAATATGATTATAGTCCTTGCAGAGTCATGATCTTTCTATCACCACTAATACTGTCTCATAGCTACCTTTTTCACCTCAACATCCAGAAGAATTTAAATATTTATGGGCTAATTTCAGTCTCCATAATAGAACATAGTCCTCTCTGTTTCACATGTCTTGCTTTCCATCTTTACCAGTATTATCTGTCGTTTCTTGCAGATATCAGACCAATCTTCCAATTCAGTTTTACTCTCTTGGCTGTTTTGGAGTATGCCAATAAGTATGGGTTCACACAGCCAATAATTTAAAAATAAACAATTGTAACAGAAAGATTTATGTTGAAAGACGGGTATCCAAAGCACATCTTTGTCTCACCCAGCTAAATTTGTTCTAATGCACATTTTTAGGAAATAAGTAGGAATTTTCAAGACTCCATCTTAGACCTGTTACTGCTAGTTGAGGTCTGTGGAGGGAGAAAAAAAAAAATCTAAGTTACCTTGCTTTCAATTTTAACTGTAGACTTCATTGTCACTTGAAAGCAGAAGCCAAAGATGAAATGTGAAAACCTACCAGAGCTGGCACGCTGTAGGTTTTGTGTTCCTGAAGCAGGCAGGAGGAACTCCACAGGCTGCACTTGCATGAGAAGGAAAAGGCCTCACAGACATGACCAAATGAGTTGCAGTGTGAGATGACCTGTCTTCAGGAGACAGAGAGAACCTGTGGCATAGGCATTGGTTGCAGAGAAGGCACCATGGGTAAAAAGTATCCTTTCTTTTTAAAATTAAGAATAGTCTTTTGAAAAGTGCTTAAATAGCACCAAAAAAATTCTCCCTAACAAAATAATGTTTCACATTTTAATTATCCAGTTTCTTCTATGTTGGGAGTCTGCTCCATGAGGCACAATTCTGCTTAATGAGTCATGAGAAACAACTTTTTTGAAGGGAATGGAAAGCCTGAAAGAAGCTTGGATTGGAATCTCCACAAAATAAAACACCTCCCTCCCTCCCTGCTGGTTTGGAGGTTTTTTTATGCTTACCTTCACTGCTTCCCAGCTAGAATTAACCAGGTACTGTCTAAAGGGACCAAAACCTGAAAAAAAAGAAAGGTGCTTTTACCTATGCTTGCTCTGCAGTTGTAGGTGAGGTGCTGGCATGTGTGCACACACATATTTGTTCTTTATCTGCATATTTTGGGTTATGGAGGTGGAGTTTTTCAGATAAGATTTAGCCTTTATAACACTTAAGAGAATAGTACTTTCATTTTTTTTTTTTTATATGCACTGATATAAGAACTAATCCTGCAATCTTCATTCATCTCAAGCCTTACTTTTGAGATAAGTTTAACTGGAGCTGGTGACTGTACTGAAGCCAGTAGGACAGGTCAAGTAAATGATGATTTTGGGTGAGGTTCATCATCCATAGATGCACCACTACTAAAAGATCTGTGTTAAAATACTCCCAGTTCACAGTTAATGTACCATTCTTATTGTTAAAACTGCTGAAGATATGCATATTTAATGAAAATATTTGAAAGAGTAAAATTTTATTTCATTTGTAATATTTTTGAATCCCAAGTAATGAAAATGGAAGTTTTCTGTCAGGGAAAATGTGCTTTTGGTGGTGCTGGGCTGCATCTCTTCCTTTAGCTTTCCCCCACCAGGAGAAGAGAGGAGGAAAGGGAAAAGGGCTCTTCTAATCCAAAGTACTGCATTTAATTTTATACAACCTTTTCTTTTTTTTTTATGAAAGACTTTTTAAATAAAAGGGGAAAAAACTCATTTTGAGCTAGATGGGCATTTTGTTATGAAAAAGTTTGATGGAAAACTCCCACTATCTTTATTAATCTCAATTACTGTACTCAATCCAGAGTGTTGCCAAGTCTGAGATACTGGGTGGCAGGAAAATGAGTTTGTGAAATGGTTTTAATGCTATAACTCTTAAATATTTAAAAATCCTTAAATGGACAAATTAATACTTGACAACATATGATTGCTCTTTTGCACAGTGAAAGGTACTTGGATGTGAGGACAATTAAGCCTAAATGCAGGCTTATGACAGCTTAATTAATGCTAGACTTTAAGCATTTCTTAATTTGTTAATACTGATTTCATAACTCACGCTCAATCTTTTCTCTTTAACATTATGAAAAGCCTGATGCTGCTAATATTTTTGACAATGTTTTCCCCAGATTTAAGTACTGTGGGGAGGGAACAAGGAAAATATTACATGTTTCACATTAACAGGGAATGTGAAGCCTCACTGGTCCCACTCTGCTTTCAGAGCAAAATTTGGGTGACACCTACTCTGTTTTGAAGCTGTCTGTGTACCTGTGTGTGCAGAACTGTAGAACTATAATAAAGTTAGTAAACAGCTCACAATGAAATACAGGCATCTCAGTGGTACCCATAAAAAACTACTGCTTAGGATAAAATTGTGCTATGAAAAAAAAATGACTAAATGTAAGAGAGTTTTACAGTATTGAGATACCTGGAAAAACGTTGAGAGCTGACTGGCTGAGTATCATTAAGCACCATATAATAAACTGGGCTCAGTGCCAGCAGGTTTATATGATGAGCAGGTGAAAGTGTGACAGAGGTGTGCTGTGCTAATTGCTTTAGTAGCTTAAAGATGCACCTCTGTCTGAAACGGGACACCCTCTTCTGAAGCTGTTTGAGCAAGTAGATTTCTGCACCTAAATGGCTATCTAAGGGAGGAGAAAACTAACAGGGTGTGAAGAAGTGTGCCCATCAAGGGTATGTGCCATAAATACCCTAGGAGAGAAGCAGCTTGTCAGCCTTTTAAGAGGTGAGCAAATGCCTCTTGCTCCCCCCTGCACACCTGCTCGGCTCAACAGCAGTGGTGTTGAGAGCAAGCAGAACGAGTTCTGCCCATCTCACAGCTCACAACAGCAAAAAAAGGTGTTTAACTGAAAACAGCAAGATGCAAATCTCTTTGATGTAGCTTCACCCTCCTCCTTATGTCCTCAGATGACCTGCAGTGGAAAATTGTGCGGCAACTTGCGTGTCAGGAGGTGTGTGATGGTTGCCTTGAGATGAGCCAGTGGCCACGGGGCAGCGCGAGCGGCAGCGTTCCTGGGGAGCTGTGACCTTCCCAGGCTCAGGCAGCTCCAGCTGGTGCTTCTGCCACTGTGATTCAGCAGGGGTTAGAGCCAGCAGGAGAAACTCCAAATTTGGTCCCTTGTGCTGCATGTTCAGGCACGCTGCTTGGGTATATTTAAGTGTAATGGTCTCGTGTAGCAGCGATGAGGCAGCATCTCCTCTTTAAATCTCCCTTACCTTGCCATGAAACTGAGCCCCTGAAACTTGTCATGTGTTGCTCTAATTCTGGACACTGACTGTGTGACATTGTGATGCAACCTGGTTTTCTTGCTTCAGAGCTCCTTTCGGGTAAGCTTTATCTAACACTAGCCTGCACTGCCTTGAGCTATGTGGTTTGGATCAGAGAGAATGTCAACAAAGATTAAAACATGGAGAGAATGAACAACAAACCAAACTGGATGGCAGTAAAGAGGGCAGACTGCAGTCTGCTCCCTCTGACATGCATCTGATTTTTCTTATGAAGGCACAGCAGCAAGTTATTTTCCATTTTCAATTGTTAGTATGACCATTTGCTGCTGCTTTTCCCTCCAGGCAACTGTTTATGACAAAGATCAAGCATGTGTGCATACCATCTCTAGCTAAAAGAATAGAATAAAAATCTTACCAGTTACAACCACAGTGTTGGAATTTGAATCCACGAAATCCATGCTCCAGAAGGTGAAATCTTGTTCTTTCAGTTCTAAACAGTGCTGTAATTCGTGTATCTGTGGCAAACTCCTTCTTTGGGGGCACTTTTTTTCCTTTCTTCAACCTTTAAAGTGTCTGGATTCACATGACAGGGATGATTTGTGATTCATGTAACATTCAAAGCAAAAATTGTTACGTCTCAGTATTAAAGATAGAAGTCTGACCAGCTGACTGACTGGGACTGCCCCACACTTCTTTTCCTGTCTGCATGCAACAGCATTTAGGAAGGTGTGAAGAAACTTCTTGCAAAATATCCAGCAAAGTTTTTAATCAGAAACCTGTTTATGTACAAGTAAACAGAAAGTTCATTGAATCAGTTTTATTCTATGCCTGTGGATATTCTGTTTTCAGCACAGCTGAAATTCACAGTAACTGTGAGGAAAGACTTCACTACAAAAATGAACCTGTGCATGTCCTATGTTCTTAGACATTTTCTTGCTGATTTAAAACACCTTAGGGCTAACTTTGCTGTTCCCCCTCATAGCAGTTATCTAATTTCCTAATCTTGAGCTCTGTCTTATGCTCTTTATAAAAGAAACCAAGCACCTTACGCTTTTAAAACCAAACACCAGCAGGAAAATGTGTGTATTTGCTAAACCAAAACATTTACTCTGTAATATCCTTGGATAGTCAAGATGTTAAAAAAAAATCTCACTGCAACTTGCAAGGTCCCGTGGAGCTCTAGAAGCTGGGTTATGCTTGCTGAAACTGGCGAGTTTCATAGCTGGTCTGTCTTCATTACACTGAAGCATGAGAACCAATGGGGGGGGGCTGAAAACAAAACATATGCACATTGTCACTGCCCAAAACAAAAGCATATGAAAGTTCTCTTGGGAATTGTAACTATGTGGGCAGAGGGTTCCGCTGGGTCTTGTTTTGAGTAGGAAGTGTATGTGTGTGTGTGAGGGAGGGAGGGGAGAAACATGCTAAGAATAGAAAGCCACTATATAATCTCAAGAGAGCTGGTAATTGTAAGACCTTAAGGGGGAAAAAAAAAAATCTCTGAAGAACTGCCTTGGACTGGGTGGTAGCTGGATGAGGTCTGGAGCTGTGTCTATCACTTAAATCCTCCTGTGCTGAGACACATAAATTTGTGGATTCTTTTAAATAAAAAGGCCCTGGTTCCACCATCCATTTCTTCCCCTGACTAATGCAGTGTGTAAAACTAACTTTTGCTAGTGGCTGAGACCAAAGGAGCAGCTAATACAGTAAACACAGAGCTCTTTGCAGCTTTAAATAAGGCAACATCTGCCACTGACATGAGTGAACTACATCTAACAGTCTACAGTCTTTCATTCTTCTATGTCAAGTAAGATTCTTATCAACCAATTTTTCCATGAGACCAGTTAGTAAAACTCTTCCTATGATCCTGAACATGACAATGACATACTGGTCTTCTCATAGTTTTTTCTCATTTGTGCTTTTAAAAAAAAAAATAAATCTAGGTACACAGTGGTCTAATGAACAAAACACATGCAAGGCATAAAGCAAGATTTAAGGTCTGTAGTTGCTTAATTTCCTGCATGAGAAATTATTTGCCTTGTTTGGGACATTATAGCTGCTTTGTAGGTAAATCTGAAGGGTAATGCTCAGATGCTGTAAAATACCAAGTATTTTACTAGATATTTTTCCATGGCATAGGTATAAGTATATTACATCCATGCTCTCTGAAACAACTGATATTAGCTATTAGGACTGTAGCTTTCAAAGTTTCACAACTGGCCTAAAATCATAGGGAAAAAAATAGAGCAAGGGAGATTATTTCATTAATCTTTATGAATATGATAGAAATACTGGGGGGAACCCCCCAAGACACTTTTTAATGACTCATTGAGTCTTGTCTTCAACAGTTAAGTTAGTCCCTTGTTGTAAGTAGAAGATTTTGTAGTAAAGATTTTGAGACCTTTCCAGTGTTCCCTGATCCTAAACTGTGACATGTGTGCTTGTGCAAATGCAGGAGGAACACTAGTGATTCAGGTAACCCTGACAGAGTGCACTGAAATCAATTTTTAAATTTTAAATCACTGATTTAATAGATTGCTTCTGTTCTTAAGCTTGATATGCCTGTTAGTTGACTCGGAGGGATAATGCAAGCAACTACTGCAGCTCTCCTACATTTCTGTAACAAGCTGAAAATAAAGGATATGGTAGATCAAAAAAAAAAAAGTATAAAAAAATCTTCTGGTTAGGCTTAAGTTCTACTGAGAATTTTATTCAGAAATGAAACCTTCTATTTCCCCTAATTTTTTCTTCAGCTGAAGTCAAAGCTACTCTTGAAATTGTTGTAAAAGTATGATTGTAGCTTAAATATCAGCCCTCATGTGTATACATGCCCATAAGAATAGATACCCAAGTCACTGGATATTTGAGGTCTGTGCCAATTAATCTTCTCATCCATAATTAAGAAACCAAGCCCTGAATATTTGAAAGCAAGTCACAGGCACAGCTGACTCAGCTAAACACTGGTTGTTTTCCTTCTTGCTCAACACAAATGTGATTGGCATGGCACTCTTCTCGAGGTAAAGGAGAGATGGAAGCAACTCAATGATGAAAGCCCTGGTTATCACCTTGAGTATTTTTCTGTACAGTTTTCTAATAAAAAAACCTGTACATTTAAAAAGTATTTGAAGTGCTGAGTAAGAGAAGAATGTATTTTCTGCAAATGCATTCTGACCACATTGCAGAACTGCCAGAACACTGCTTGAATAGCTTCTTAATACTAATGGTAACAAGAACTGAGTCTGGCCCTTCATTTAGAAACAGCTCTTTAATTTTTATCTCTTTTATTATTACTTACATTTAGATTTTTTATTTCTTGTTATTGGCAGCCCCTGACCAATGTTTTAAACTGGTGTGTGGAAGTGTTTAATGTATGTGGAATTTTATCTCAGCTGTTCAACATTTAATGAGAAGAGGGAAAAATCAAGCTGTTATGCTATTTAACATTAAACTATAAAGGCATTTTAAATAGAAATTTCAGGATCTAACATTCTATTTCTTTTCCATTCTAATAAAAATAGATAATTCTCAAGAAAGACTGAAGCTGGTCTTTAGGTAGATGAAATGCAATGTCAGAAAAAGAAAGGAGACAAACATTTCAATGTAAAGCTCACTGTTCTCAGTAGACCAATGCCTCTTCTACAACAAACTGTAAAAATGGTAAACATAATGGCAATTTCACTTACCTTTTTTTCTTTTTTTTTTAGTAGAAGGTGGTGTATATTTTATGTTGTCTTATTTATATTAGTTCTTCTGCAGTTGATGCCATTGGTGTGTGCCCAGTGCCTAGCAATAATGAAAAAAATAGAAATTGTATATAACTAAACGTAGCCAAGCTGTTGGGTGGCTGTTATAATTTCACTTCTGGTCATCTTGCAGTATTAGCAAAAGCTAACTGTTGTGCATGGACAGATTTTAAAAATTAATTTTACTAGTTTATAATAGCTTAATTCAGAGAGAAACTACTTTAGCAGGAGCGTGCACAACTCACAATCAATGGGTTGCTTTTTTTCAGGCACTATTTGCCATGCAAAAAGAGATTCTGCAAGCAGGATACACACAATTTAAGGTATTATTTATCAGCTAGTATGCAAAATAGATAGCTAGGAGTAACAGATTACTAGGCTAAACAGTGATATGCTTACCACTCCTGATAAGAAAACCGATGAGTCTTCACTGGTCAGGAAGTTTCCAACATGCTGGGGAAAGTTGGTGTCTGCTGTTTGTTGGTTTGGGCTGATCCTTGGCTTTGCTAAGTTATCTTAGCATTTTCTGCTTTTCTTTCCTTCTGTATCTTTTTTTCTTGATTCTTTCACCAGCTAACGACTGTTATCAACAGTGCTTTAGTCACATTATTTTTTTGTCTTTATGGTTTTAGCTCATGTACTTTTTCATAGCTTAACAATTTTCTCAGTAAAGCTCAGGTAAGGTCACACAGCAATGCTGCATCCAGCTAAGCCTTGGGCCATAGCACAGCCAGACTTCTGGGCTGAGTGTGACATGGGGAGGGGTGGAAGGCTCAAAGTTTCAAGTGAACATGAGGAGGTGCCGATATCCACTGGTGCACTGTAACGCATGCTTGTGTGACATCCACTTTTGGGGATCGTCAGTGTAGGGGCTGAGATCACTTTGTCCTGATAAGGAAAGAAAATACGAATCTACTGTAGTGTGTTTCAACATATTTGAAAGGAGGAGCAACCTCATGGTGGTTTTGGTGGCCGTGCGGACAGGCAATGGAGGGCCTAACTAAGGTGAAGCACTCGAGAAGCTCTCTTGAAACCTTGTCTCCAGGTCACAGCCCTGTTCCCTGAGGGCATTTGAGAAAATGTAAGTCTGTTTCTTTGCAAGTGTCCTACTATTTCCATGTAGTTTTCACCTCTGACTTCAATACTTGTATCTGCTATTTTAAAAATAATGAAGTGATCTCTCACTCAGGGTAGGAAGGCTCCCAAGAGTGAGCGCCTGGCTTCTACTTTCTAATTTTGACAACTGTGGGTTCGTTTTAATGTCTGTATCTTGCAATAAGGCACAGTAGGTTGCTTGCCTGGGTTTTCCAAAAGCTTCTTTTGCATCGACAACGTTCACTGCCGCACATGGCTGAAGAATGCCATAAAAATGTCATTTTTGGATGTAATTTTCCCTGGAAAACCTCCTGCCGGTTGAATTTGAAGGAGCTAGCATTTAGCTCCACGGTTTGCCGCTCTCTGCCTTTTCAATGAAGAATTTGGAATTTGTGCTGGGAGTTTTACGAGAGATGGCGGGGCCGGGAGCTGCCCCTCAGCCGCC